CTACCTAAAAATACTATAAAATGGACAACAACAACATAATCTATGAAGATGATTGGTGATAAAAACGATTTTCCCTTGTCTGCATTTGGAAAGGTTTGCATAGAATACACAAGAAAAAGCAATGGGAAATTAGCCACCTTCTACAAATAAAAAAAAAAAAAATAAACCAAACAAATTCCCCATGAGAGTGTTTTTACTTACTGTTTGGTTGTTGATATTCTACAGAATGCACAACATAAAGGGAGTTAACTACTCACATGCAAAATGCTACCAGAAATGCTATAGACTGAACCGAATTTTAATATATTTTTCCTCATGCAGTGTCTGCATTTTATGTGGAGCATTCACAGGCATTTCTACATACTGAATACCCTGGTTAAAATATGCCATATATGCAAAGTATAAAGTATTAAATTATACAATAATAAATCCTTAACCAGTCCATAAACCATTGTATAGAAATTTGAATAACATATCATGCACTCTGACCCTATTTTCAAAAAAAAAAAAAACTTAAAATATTAATTCTATGAAAAAAAATCACCATAGATTGAAAGTCTTTATAAGGGTTTCATTTATTAATATGACATGCTTTTTCAGTTAATAAATGACATACCAGGTACAGGTATAATGAACTATCTGTTATTGAATTTGAAAAAAAAAATCTCTACAGCGTCAAATAATAAATATCCCAATAAAAATCCTTTACCTGGTCCGGCCTGAGATCCATCAATCACAAACTCCGCCTCCTCGCGGACGGTCGCCTCCTTCAGGCCCCGCCCAGTCAGAATGACCTTGTTGGCATCAGAGAATGCTGGGACGGCGTAGCCGAGGAACGGAGAATTCGGGAGGGCCACATCCGACCAGTAGAGATGAATGTAATGGTTTCCTAGAAATTTCAAAACAGGGTTATTTATTTGCCTGTGTAAGTATATGTACATGTAAAGACATGGCACGCAAGTATGAAATAGGAAAATGGCTATGGAACTATTTAAAAATATTTGTCTTGAAAAAAATATAGTTACTTTATACTCCTGTCATGAAGAGTGGAAATAAAACTGCCTAAAAATTTCATCAGATCATTGATGGTGGCAGTTTTTAACAAAACACTAAAGTGAGGTCAAAATGCAAACATTGTATACCATAATTCTTCTAATTTCATCAATCTTATACTCAGAAAAAAATTGGGGGGTTGGGTGTGGTGGGGGTCTTTTTACCTTCCTCCCTGGGAACAAATGCCACTAATGTCTGACCATAGCTGTCTGTGACAGTAGCGGGGACTGTAGAGCCAGGTCCAACTACCTCAGCCCTTAGAGATCCTGAAATCAAAGTCATGTAGACCTTTAGTAATTTAATATTCTGACTCATATACGCTGTATACATTAACGAGCAAAACAGTAAATTAATTACATGTAAATGTATCTTTAAATTCATTAATGATGACCTGCAATATATAACAGCCAAAAAAAATTCCCACAAAATATCTTTTCTTAAAAAAAATAACATGCTATCCAACTGCATGTAAAATTTTTCACAACTAATTTAATATTAAGGTACTGTAGACATACTTTTTTCCACGGGGTCATAATTCCGCAGAATTTCAATTTCTGTTTAATCTGCGGGTAGAAAATTATGTGGATTTCTTAGACTGTCACTAAATGCCTTACATTTATATTAAGTATGCTTGGACAAATTTCCGCGGAAAATACCACGCGGAAAAAAGTACTTCTACAGTAAACAAAAATTTATTGTAAAAAATCTGAATTGCACATAAATCTTTTCTTTAAAACAAATGACACAGTCCCCTGGACATGATTTTTTTACTTACCTGGGCCGGCCTGAGAGATGTCAAACACCAGTCTCTTCTCCTCCCCCACCACCAGACCCACGCGCTCGTTACCGTCCATGTACTGGGCCCACCCACCAGAGATCCGCACCTTACGGGGATCAAACACCTTAGGGTGGAATGGACTTCCTGAAATAGTATCCTCCATTTGTAAAGCTTTGAAAGTTATCAAACTTTCCACTTTAAGATTTGAGCTTGTGAAAAAAATTTCAATGATTTAATCCTATCTTATAAGTTCATAGATTGTGTAATCTGATATCATATCTTATATTTTCACATTCTGAAGTTGTCAGGGAAACTATCTGTCAAAAATGTTGATCAAGTAATCGACCTTTCAGGTGAAAAATGTACTTTAATTTATGGTGTGTATAAATGTATAGGTCGCTCAACATAATTTTTCCCTTAAGTGCTTGAGATTGTTGAAAATTAGGAAATAATCGCATCAAAGCTAGTAAATAGACAATTTATCTTTTCCTATTTTACTCCTCATAAAAAGAGGATTATTGTATGAAAACTACAAGTTAGAATACTTAATCTTAATTGAAATGGATCCGTACTTTACACCTATAAAACGATATTTTTTTTTTCGAAGCAAAAACTTACCCCTCAAAATAAATAGTGTACAGTCATGTATACAAGTAAAGCCAACAGTGATTTTTTTTATTTTACCTGGAATGGGAGTTCCGTTCCACAGAATACCAATGTTGAAGATGCCCACCTCTACTGGTGTATAGTTAACAATGAATTTCTCTCCAGCTCTCTCTACTGTTGTCTTGGCAATAGAGTTAGGTCCTAGGAACAAAATAGATAATAGATAGCAATATCATTAGGCCTAAAGATAGATGCAAGATTCTATAGGCATTGCTTTGCAATGCAAATAAAACATACAAGTATATTTTATTTTTACATTAGAACCCTTTTGTTTTATGTATTATATTATAAGAAGTCTTTTTCATGACCATATGTTAACATCCCTCGAAAATCAATTCATCTTTCTATGCAAGTTTCTTTGAACTTACATTGTATTAGAATTGAATTTCAGCACAGATAAACTTCAGTATCTCACACTTAAGGTAAGGTTTGCGTCTCCCTCCAACTCATATTTTTTTTAATATGCACACATGCTATATATCAATTTATTCAGGATGATTAGCTTCATCATTTAATATGATTTTCAAAGATATTGCCCGTCCAATTTTTTAGTAAAAGACGCCAAATTTAACGTATTTCATATTTCACCTCGAATATTATTTTCATTGAAAAAATTGAATTATTTTATAAATTATCAAACTTTTATAAGTAAAATGACCTGAATTAGTATAATTCATGCTTCTATTATTTAAACTTTTAATTTTCCTCTTATCAAAAATGTGAAAATTTGGGTAAAAAAGAAGATTTTTCAATTTTCCTTTATAAAGTGAAACCGTTGCCATGGCAACAAAATATAAAAATCAACGTTTTACATATCTACCGATTCCATCAAAATCCATGAAGTTATTAATTTGATCATTTTCATTAATTTGAACTAAAAAAATATGTATGTCCCCAATATAATTTCCATGGAAACGGGCTATATTATGGGTTCGGAACATAAAAATGAGGCTTTTTCTACACTTTTAAAGACAAGATATCACCTTGTCATGGTGAATGTTAAAGACTGAATGTTATTTTTTATATTGTTTTTAGGCATAAATTGGCCAAATATGTTCAAAATAAAACTCCTCCTGTGCCACATGATGGTCTAAAAATTTATTCCATGGAAGAATTCTAGTATTTATGGCAATCTTTACATCTGAATATTCTGATGAAATTGTCCATGAATTATACTGCAACACCTTTAGAAGTACATGTATATGTATATAAACATACTTCAGAACATGTTGCAACTAAACCAATTAAAAGCCTATGAATTTGACCTCATGCTGATTTAGTTATTCCAACATGTAGTAACTTCTAGACATCTTTGTAGCAAAATATCTTTATTCAGTTATGGCTGGTGACTGTCATTATACATTTATGCCATTTTTTGAGTGAAATGTTGTAAGTATTGCATCCACGAAGCTGCTGTTTTTATAAATAAATGATTTCTTTACTTCGAAGAGTAGAAATGCTACCTTTAAAGTAATGTTTGTTTGCCCTCTCTTGACTCAGGGTAAAATTATTGGGTCGGTAGGTGAGAAAATCTTCAACAACATTTTTTTAAGGGGGATAAGAAAACTAAAAAGAAAAAAAATATGGCCCTGCATTGAAAAAAAGTTTTCAGTCTGGTCATTTTAGTCAGTCGGTCTGGAGAGGCCGACAACCAAACATTTTTTAAAGATGGCCTATTTCTACATTTCATGGACATTAGCTCAATCATTGGATTAGGTAGTCTGAGAATCTAAATTGAAATATCAGACAGAACAAAATAAAGATGAATTCTAAGTGACATCAATTCATACTTTATGAGTTTACAGAGTACTTCTGATTTCAGAGAAAAGGCAAATCTGCAAAATGACATAACACTGTCATAAATATTTGTCAAGAACAGGAAAAAAGAAACAATGCTACAGTGATAGATATACTGCACTGTATCTCCTTGATATCCATGAAATAATAATTTAAATATAACAAAATTTTCTCCTTTTTAAAATCAAAATACAGAAAAAAATGAAAAGATTATAAATGTAAACAATTTTAAAATAAACTACATGTACTTGTGAAAGATTTTAATTTTAGTACATTACTAAACTAGTCTTATCACTCCTACCAAATTAACAACCTTACAATTTCCAAGTGTCATGTTTTAAACTGTTACAGTAGATATAATTATACATGTTCACTGCAGCTTTATGTACACAACTCATCAGTTTTCAGAAATACTTATTTGAGCATATTAGGTCCTGGTAAGAACAAAATTTAATGAATAAAAATATTTATCTTAATTGTTCATGTATTAATGTCCTTGCAATTTTACAAACCCTTTTAAAAAACTTGTTACATGTAAGTATAGACAAAAGCAACCTTCAATAATACCTATGATGTATACATTTATTTTATTGAAAACAAATTCAAAGATGGACAAACAGAGCATGCACTGCAATCATCACATACACATATTTTCTAAATATATGGAAAACAGCATGTATATACTAGATAGGATGTTGTTAAACATTAACTTTTCTTCTGTAATCTATAGACATATAAAAATATGCATTGGGTATAACAAGTCAGAAGTTCTTCTCCAAATCTCCATTGATTTTGCCATGTCTGGTTCAACATCTATGCTTGATCCAATCATCCATCCAACTTTCTTTAATATTCTTGAGCAGATATGGGATGACCTTTACTTTGACTGATGGCACAAATCTTTTAAGGAAACACTGAAGTACTTTTTTTTTTGTTCTTATCTATTCCAATTAATGACCCATGATCTGAAATCATATGTGTTCATTTTTACAATAACATTTAAGGAATTGCATTTTTGGAATTGCATAAGGAATTTCATTCACTTAATGAAATGAATAAATTTACAATATATTAATCAATAAAGAATCAATGTGAAATTATTGTAAAATTTACAGATTGAATTAGTGAAATGCAAATGCTTGATCAAGAAAATTAATGTTTTTGTCATGCACAATCTGTATCTCTTTTTTTATTAATTAGAAAATGAGATATTAATTAAAATCAAACCTCATTTAAAAAGGTAACAATTGAATACCTGTTCCAATAATGTTACAAATATTAGGCGTAAAAAGCAAGGATTTTATTTTTCATAATTTCTTAAATGAATGCATTTTTATTTTTTGGCAATGTTGGGATATTAGTTACATCCTGACATCCTAGCTTGTACCGTTTATTCATCGTTTTAAAATCCGTAGTCAGTAGATAATTCATAACTTTCAGTAAAATGAATAGTTAAATAATTACCTGATGAAAATACTGTCAACAATCAAACTGTCGACATCATCATTGGACATGGTCAAATGCACCGTGACTTTTCTTCCCTGTTCGGACTGCATATAGCATAATACTTTACAGGATACTCTCAGGTCTTTTCTTTTTTCTTTCCAATTCTCACTTAAAATTTTAGTGTAGTGGTGAAGCGATAAACACACAACAGCACAATGCGCCAATGACTTTCTTCTGATCGGAACGGCCGTGCAACTTGCCACGTTCCGTATCGAAAATAAACAAGTCCTCCTTTATTGGTCCATCCACATGCATCACGCTAATCTCAAAGGCTTCTAAGATTCCTATGCTTTGATTTTTTATAAGACTTTCTCCCAAAACGTCCTTTGTTTTTAGTCCTAACAATAAGTGACAACAAACATCAAGTATGACAGAGGAAATTCGTTACCGAGATGCTTAGCATCGCTGGTTTAAATTCGCCTGTTTCAAACGCTTTGGTGATTCGCAAGAGTTATCTCCCTGTAAACGCAAACCTTACCTTAACTATCTCAAATACCATGGATATGTGGAAGGGAGTTGAAAGTCTATATCTCTATCTCTTGAAGATAGCAAGATTATCTGTTTAATTTCTCCACCTACCCTCCACTTTGATATCCAGATCTCCACTCCTCTTGCCCACATCCACATAGAACACGGCTTCCTTGTCCTCCTGACCTTTGTACAGACCGGGGCCAGAGGCCGAGGGCAGTCCTCCCTCATCAATGGTGTGAATGACCGGACAGCCTACAATACAGCAAAAAAATAAGTAATTTAGTGGTCATGTTTCTATGAAATCAAAGAAATTAGTTAAAATTCATAAAATCACCATACCCTTCTCCCCAAACACTTTTCCAATTGGATTCAACATCTTCTGAGATGTGAACTGTACATATCACATATGCTGAGCTTCACTTTAAGTTTACTGTACCCCTCGTTTTGTCAGACAATACCTGCTATTTGGTTTGTGGGCAAATGGAAAGGTCATGCAGGGATATAAAATGTACTAAAGGTCTGCATGTCTTATGTACAGTAAAGTTTCACTATTAGACCTAAAAATCTGATTAAAAAGATGAATCATCTTTAAAAAGAATGAATACCTGAGTTGTCATGTAATCTGTAATACATCCACTTTTTACCTCTATATCCATAGTCAAACATCCTGTTCATATTCATAGGAACAAAAAGAAGTCAACACTGGCACACAGGTCAGAGAATAATGTGTGGAACTCTGGGATATGTGAAAACTACTCACCATGTTAACTTTATCTGTGAACAGTGCCTCATTATAATTACCCTAGTCTGTCCCAGAAAGGTCAGAATAACAAAGACAATCATGCAAATACCAATTCACCAAGGAGTAAATGCCTCTCAGACCACAAAAGTATATTTCAATGGCAATAACATGAAAATTTCAAAACATCAAAATATGAAAATTTAATTTTCAGCACAAAATGTTCTCAAATTATTAATCCAATATTTATGGATTTCACTTTTCTTTATTTTAACATTGTCTTTTTTCTTTTCTGCTCTTTGGGGGTGGGGATGGATGGGGGAGGAGGTAGCAACTTTCAACCAAAATACTTCACTAAAAGGGGTGGGGGTAGGGGGGATAATCTACAAAAGAACATATTTCTGGAAGTTTAACATTAATGACTTTTTCGTTTACCCTGCCCGATATGGACTTTAATTTGAGTCACATCTTACCACCTATGGATATCTGAGTCAAATGCTTCCCATCTCTCTTCAGTGAAGATACATGGTAGACACTTCCACCCAACTGTGAAGTCTGTTTAGAAACCACACTTATTGCTTTTCTTGACTGGGAGACAATGTTTCTACTTTCAGTGGTAGCAACCACTCTATTCTGAAGCGGTACTACCACTTTATCAGTTATTGCTGTCCTTGAATTCTGAGGCGGATTCACCACATTATCAGTTTTAGCTGTCCTTGAATTCTCAAGTGGTACCACCACTTTATCAGTTTTAGCTGTCAATGAATTCTGGGATAGCACCTTTGGTTGAGGGGTACTAGTAAGAGAGGCTCTTGCTTGGAGTAATATTTCAGACTGACTAGATTTCTGAGGAGATGTATGTGAAGAGTCTGGAGAGAGCTCTCCATTCATCTCAACTCCATCCCCCTCTGACGTCCTTGTTTGTGTATGTCTTAGCTTAACCCCAAACTGTGCAGCACCAGAAATGGAAGATTCCATAATATTAGGGAGATTCGAGGAGTCATTATTAAAGCTTGAGTCCTTCATGCTGGTTCTTGGTTTTCCAGCAACATCAGTCTTGTGTAAGGATTTTTTAAGGTGATTCTCCAAATGTGCCAGTAAAGCTTTATTTGCAAACACACTGTTATTCAATTTAAGGGGTCCAGGTCTTCTGTTATTGTTTGTTTTTTCATCCTTGACCTTTTTTTCCTCTTCTTTGACTGCGTCAAGGTCATTTTCCTTATTTCTCTTCTTCAACACTGACCCCAGCTCTTTGACCAACTGGTCATGAAGCTTTGACCCCGGGTCCTTCTTGATGGAAGACTTGAAGATGATAGGCCTATCCACAAAACTCTTCGGACTAACAGGGGACACGGAGGAATTTTCCACCATTTTCTCCTCATCAGTTTTATTATTGCACACATGACCCTCTTTCTCCTCCTGAGGGCTTTGAGGATCTTTCTCTGTAGGAACATCCTCCTCTGATTCGCTGGAGGAGTCTGATTCTGGGATTTTCCCTTTGAGGACACTCTGCAGTTCTCCAAGCACACTGTCCACACTGATCTCTATAACTTCCTTAGAATCAGTCTCTACTTCCATTTTGAGAATCTTACTCAATCACTTGACTATTATATTTGTTCAAATCAAGAGTAAAACGTCCACTAATTCACAACAATAAAGTTAGTAGTGCAACAGATTTTTTTTTTGTTTTCGGCATGACCTGTAAATCATATGATTATCAGAAGTTCTTATCTTGTCCTATTCAGTGCAACATGATAAGGCTTTATGATACAATATGCCAAACATAGAAGGTTAACTTTGATAAAGAGAACAGTACTTCAATGACCATTGATTAGGATTACCCCATGGCTGAATGCACAAGGTTCAAAACAATCTTCTAGTCTGCAATGTAAGGAAATCTGATCTAATCCTGATAGATTCTTCAAGAGTGAACTATTTTTAATCCAACTTTGATATAATGATCCAGTTTTAAGGATCTACTTAAAATGTTCATCCAATTACTTTGTTGCTTTAATGTGATCAATTGCTTTCCATTCACTCCCTCCAAAAATTTAATTTTGCATTCCAACAATAGCATGCACAAATCAGAAAATCCATTCTATGACTGTACAGTCAGAACTTTCAAAATGCACATCCACAGTACACTATCTGAGGTTCTAATTGACTAGGAGCCTAACACATCAAATTCATTCAAAACCTGTTTTAAATTTCACCGATTCCAACATCTGATTATTACTACATTTGTAAATCCAATAGTGCTCAAAGAGCTGCACACATTCTCTTTTATAAAACTTCAGAAGTCTAAATCACACATTTAAGTCTCTAGACTCCTACACATTGGCTAAATTTTAATTCTGTTGAAAAGGTTTAACACTGTTGGCTAGTACAATTCATTCACGTACAAATATACTGATTGAAGTTAAATAAAATCAGCATAATTCATGAAAATAAATCCACACCTCTACGAATTTTTTTTCATCGAAAATGAAACAGTTCAACACAAGTTTTCATTGTTATAAAACATCCCGTAAAGAACACTATTGTATATTCGCTGAAAATCAATATTTTGCTTAGATTTCAGGTCCTTTCAACAAACAACTTTTAATAAAGACAGAAATTTAAGGGATCCATTGCCTTTGGAATATTCTCTGTGAAGGCTGCAGCAATAAGTTTTGGCTTATATTGCTTTACATAGCACCAAGGTTGTACAGATTAAAATCATTAATATTAATAAAAACCTCCGACTTGATTTGAAAGCCTGTAATGATTTCTGTGTCTGTTATTGAGACACGTGGATATTTAAAACCTCGCATTCACAAGATGTCCCGCAGCTCCTGTTGACTTAAGCGTGGATTAATATTTTGTCATCATTAGCAAACAGGGAGTATCTCGGGAGAGAAATTATAATTCCAAGAGTGGTGTAAACATTCCATAACTAAATGAGTAGACACTATACGGAGATGATGAGTCGAGATGGGACGTTGATCCGCGATCGAAATAGATCAATTACCATATACAAACATCACTATAATTTTCACTAAAAATTCTGCACAATTTCAAGGTTTAAGTTAATCTATAAATGGATGGTATGGATTATAACATCCAACCATGCATGCATAACAAGCATTCTCCCACAATTGTAAAATCACTTCATGAATATTACTATAAAATCCTTTTATTTATTACAAACTTTAATGCTACATAGTTGTACGTACTAATGAATTAAACTGAACACGTTTTCATTTAATAATTGTAGTAACTTAAGGCATTTTCAAATTAGCTAATGCAGTTGAAATTTTTTGAGTTAATTAATGAATTTTGAAATAACATTTTACAGGAAATCATTGTGAAAATCAATGATACTATTTCATAGCCACCTAAGCTTTGCAAACACAGTTTTTCCAGTAAATTATTGACTTTAATGCTATTGGTATTTTGAAAATATCAGTCTCCCCCACCTCTATTGATACTGGGTAATATTTGTCAATGGGCTCAGCCTGCCTAGTATAATTCTTCTGAGAGAGAGAACCTGTTTGTGTGGGCTGCAGAATGTGTTACCAAAGAAAGGCAAATATGTACACAAAAGCCTGAAAGGAAGACTGAAAAATTTGGAGCACCCTCTATAACAAATATGGTACCTTTTAACTGCTCTTGTTTTCAGCCCTATTAGCTATTTGCTCCAAGCTACATGTAATGATGTGACACTGAGTGCATTTAATACCATGCTTGGAACAGAGGAAATTCTTTAGTTTTTATTCCAATTTTTTTCACACTTAAAGAAGCACTATTAATTGCTGAAATAAATATCAAGATGTGGTAAATTCAGTATCTAAAGTGTAAGCTAGTATACATGTACTCTAGTGTGCACTAGCTTTTTACAAACATTATTCATATGATTTTACATTACCAAAACCAACATAAGAGGCATAGTACAGTTTAGAAAATACATCCGGTTATCTTGGGTAGTCAGTCTTGTTCATATATTTACAACAACATGCCTGGCCGAATGTTGCATACAGAATTTGTCCCATACCTTCTGTTTCAGGTAGAATTTGGACCTGGTTTACTTTAAAACAGACACTGGATGCTGCCAAATCATCTCTATGTTCACCAATATAGCATTTTTTGTCCATTGAATTGTTTTCACTGAAAGTTTGTATATTGCTTTGGGTCAGCGAGTCCACATGCATTTCTGTCTATCTCAGGAAGACTAAATTTTTGCAATGAAAATTTTATATATCAACTCCCTATGGCCTAACAAGACCCCATTTGATTTTGAGATCAAAAGGTCAAAGGTCAAGGTAATAAATTCTGTCTCTTAACTCTTTCTTTCTGTGAAATATCTGGAGAAGCCTTTAAGCTTTAATTTACAGTGAAAGAGTTCTTTTAAACCACAACTCCCTATCGCCCACGGAAGACCCCTTTTTGTTTTGAGGTCAAAGGTCAAGGTCATTCACATTATGTCTGTGTGTAAAACTTTCATTTCCAAGCAATCTCTCAAGAAGGTTTAGTATTTTGCAATGAAACTCCCTACCATAACTCCCTACAGCCCCACCCGCCCTTCTTCAAGTGCCCCCCCCCCCCCTTTAAGATTCATGCATGTTCTTTTTTCTTTATTAAGTGATTCTCTGAACTAGCTTGTAATCACTGCATATATATGTATCCTAGAAAGGTTGCTCCCTCCTTAGTTGTCTAAAATCTTTCCACTGTCCAAGTTAATGAAAGTTATCAAAATCAGTGGCAATTCTAGGATTCAAAACATTTCAGTGCTAATTTTTAATGTTCATAATGGCTCTAGTTAAATCTAGTTGGACAGAATGATGGTTGCAGTCCATTATTACATGTCCTGCTGGCCAGTTAATGAAGTTATAGTTTTTTTAAAATCAATTTTATGAATTCCTTTGAATTAACTGTAAGTCACAAACTCTCTATCAATTAACATGAAGTCAAGTTAAATACTTATGACTGAACAGGTAACATTTTAACATTAAAGTGTAATGAAACAAAAAACCTAGCTTCAAAGTACTAAAATTTCAGGCTTAAATGCATTCTTTAATAAAAATTTGTCAAAACATGTCAGAAGTGAAAAGAATCAGTTTATATATAGTTACATGTGTACACAGACAGACAATAATTTGCAAAGTAAGACAGGTAGCAAGGCCAGAAAAAAATTCTAATACCTATACTGTAAAATTATTCCCATCATCATCAAAACATCAAATAAGACAAACAGATATCTGCATATTTTAAGATCAATCAATAAATTAAATATAGAGAGAAAATCGTAAGATTATACCTACTGTCTGCCATTGTTAACCAGGGAGCGATTGAGTACAGTGGTCTAGTGGGAGGACGTTATGTATTGTACAGGGGTGGTCAACTGAACCATGTAATGGATGGGACGCCTCTTAAGGGGACATTCAGACACCACAATCAATTTAACATCAATTCACATTAGTAGTTATCTAGGGAGCCCATCTAATGGTGACATATTGCCTGTACATCATATTTAAGTGTATAATGTTGGTCAATAGACTTTGGTGATATTAAGCCTGCCATTATTTTGTTATATACCAGATGTGTTCAGTTGGTAAACTTTTGATGATGAGTCAGCGTGCACAGAAGATGTTTTTTTCCTACATGTAGCTTAGTGGAGAACTACCTTAAAAGATCTATGATAGATCTAGAATCAACCCTGGACTTTATCAAATAATTCATCAATAGAAAGCTTTTAAGGTGGCTCTTTATGTTCAGTTAATGACTCTATTTGTCAGGTAAAACTGCTACAGTGTATTCTTGTTGGTAACACTAAAATAATTCCAATTGGACCGTGCAGGAAAAATATAACAAGAGGCCCATGGGCCACATCGCTCACCTGAGTAATTTGGGTGATGCAGATCTTTTTAAAAGATTTGATCTATATATATTTCTATGTAAAATTTGGATTCCCTATTGTGGCCCCGCCCTACCCCTGGGGGTCATGATTTTAATAATTTAATATCTACACTACCCAAGGATGCTCCCACATAAGTTTCAGCTTTCCTGGCCCAGTGGTTCTTGAGAAGAAGATTTTTAAAGATTAGTTCTATATATTCCTATGTAAAACTTGGATTCTCTATTGTGGCCCCGCCCTACCCCCGGGGGTCATGATTTTAACAATTTAATATCCACACTACCCAAGGATGCTTCCACAAAAGTTTCAGCTTCCCTGGCCCAGTGGTTTCTAAGAAGAAGATTTTTAAAGATTTGTTCTATATATTTCTATGTAAAATTTGGATTCCCTATTGTGGCCCCGCCCTACCTCCAGGGGTCATGATTTTAACAATTTTATATCTACACTACCCAAGAATGCTTCCATATAAGTTTCAGCTTTCCTGGTTCAGTGGTTCTTGAGAAGAAGATTTTTAAAGATTTGCTCTATACATTTCTATGTAAAACTTGGATTCCCTATTGTGGCCCCGCCCTACCTCCGGGGGTCATGATTTTAACAATTTAATATCTACACTACCCAAGGATGCTCCCACATAAGTTTCAGCTCTCCTGGCCCAGTGGTTCTTGAGAAGAAGATTTTCAAAGATTTGCTCTATATATTTCTATGTAAAACTTGGATTTCCTACTGTGTCCCCGCCCTACCCCCGGGGGTCATGATTTTAACAATTTAATATGTACACTATCCAAGGATGCTTCCATATAAGTTTCAGCTCTCC